CCTCCAACTCCCTAGCCAGTGTATCACGCTGCTGTTACTGTCCTTGGCTTCTCTTCTTCCTACATCACTGCCGTTATAGCTGGAAAAATCCAGGGCCCATTCAGTACATGTAACTCTGGAGGATCATTCAGATGGGGAGTTCTACCCTCTCTCCATTTATACCTACCCCTGGTTGACATGCGAACAAGGTACAAGGAACGAGTCCTTCTGACTGCTGCTAACTCCAGCCCCTGGCTGGGATGGGTTGGATGGAGCAGGCTGCCAACAGGTGCATCTGGCAGAGGGCCGAGAGGGAGCCGGCTACAGGCCCAGCAAAGCTGGGGATGGCTCTTGGGCTGGCCAAATGGGCCATGGTCTGGTGAAGGGAGTAAGAGCACTAGTCCTTGGACCTCCAAGTTCCACTACCCGTTTTGTGTATAATACGGTGCTAAGGGAGATGCGAAGTTTAGTTAAGATAGAGATAACTATAAAACCCAATGTTGTCTCCCTTGTGACTCCTGCCTTTCCTTCTAGGGTGGAGTATAACAAGGCCTAGGGGTCTAGCACCATGATCTAATCCAGTCCTGTATACTAGATAAACCAAGGGGCTTTAGGGGAAGATTAGGTGTATATAAAGACTTGGTTCGAGCTTCTTGTCTTGTAGGTTTTGTAAATTCTTCTCTGAATTTTGGAGGTGGGTAGGACAGGATGATGGGTTTTTGAAGGGAAAGAGTGTGGGGTTCTAGGACGTAGAATCATAGGCCTGAGAGCTGAAAGGGACTTTGGGGTGGACCAGTCTAGTCTTGTCCAGTCCACTTATTTTACAGATGAGGAAACTGAGACCCAGGGCTTAAATGGCTTGTCTCAGCTTCCATAAGTTGTAAGTGGCAAGACTGAATTTTGAAGGTAGGCCGTTGGATTCTAAAACTATTGGTCTTTCTATCATCTTCTAACAGCGTAAGATGGCTTGACGTATACAATATGGCCTGGGCTAGAGGAGTGTTTGGCGTTTGCTGTGAGTGTTTGTGGTGTGCCCTAACCTTTGGGCAGTAGGGCGGTGCCAGATTTAGACATGCACCTAAAGAGATGGGTGCTAGACGTGGAGAGTGTGGTGGGAGGAAGGCCCCACCCCAAGACCTTTCTTCCTGGGGAGCCAAGGCCACTCTACCTCAAGGGGAGGTGCCGGTATGTGTCAGGGTCCCGAGACCACAAGGAGAGAAAGAGCAGACGCAGCTGCTGGGGAATGAGAGGGGTGGCTAAATCCGGCAGTCCCTCCCATCCCCTCCCCCTTTCTCCTCTCTCCAGGGCTCTGGCTGCATATGGTTTCAGCAGGCAGCACCGCTGCTGCCGTCACCTTCCCTAGCCAGCTGCCTTCTTGCAGCCCAGACGCTGCCCTGGCCCCCCCTCCCCCTCCCCCCACAGAGCTGGCTCTCTGTACAGAATCTCAGTGGGGCCCAGGCTAGGCTAGGCTAGGCTGGGTTGGGCTCTCTCCTCCCAGGGGAGCAGGGACAGGGGTGGGCAGCTCGCCTCCTTGCAGACCACTCTGGACCAGGCACGAGGGGGCAAAAGCTGAGGCTAGAGGCAGCAGAGCACAGGCAGGAATCTATGTGCTCCCTGGGTGAGTTGGGGTGCAGCAGGGCCCGGTGACTAGAAGGCAGGGCCAGGAGGGACTTGGGGGGGGTGGGGAGGGAGGTAAGGAGGAGGGGCTAGAGGGAGCTGGTAGCGACTGATTCCTGTCTCTATTTGGCAGTCGGAGCAGAGCCAAGCAGGGCCAGCCCAGGCCCTAGGCCAGCCACTGGGGAGGGCCTCTGGGCTTGGGTCCCCTATAGGGACAACCCCTCCTTGGGAGGGCTTTCGTTTTCCCCCACCTTTCTGAGGCTGACCTCCGTCCCTCCATCCACTAACTTGGAAGATTACTTCCTAGCCCCCTCCCTGCTTTGGGGTCTGTTTCCCTAGCAGGTGTCTCTAGGCTAGAAAGCTGAGTGGGGGGAGGAGCATAGGCTCACAGTAGCCTCAGCGTGGCATTCTGAATTGGGAGGGGGACGTCTAGAGTGGACAGACCTCTCAGTAGGTCTGCAACCCTGTTCTTTCCTTTAGCAGTCCCATCCAAAGAGGGTCTTAAGGGAGGGAGGAGCAGGAGAAATGAAAGAGGCCCTTTCTCTGAAAGAGAAAGAGCCTCTGATTCTAGTGTTTATTACCCCTCTGGGCCCCTGGAGACCAGTCTTCTGAGCCTGGGATCTGACATTTTGGCCCCTCTCTGCCTTCCTCTAGTGTCCGGCCTCTAGCTCTCTATCTAGCCCCTTCACTGAGAAGCCTGTTTAGTCAGTGGCCAGGCTTTTCAGTTTCCTCTGAGCTCCTGACCCTCCCAGTGTGGAGAGTCCTTGGTCTTCTAAATCTCTTACTCCATCTCTTCCTAATAGTGATCTCCTGGGTTCCTAAGCTTTGTCATAGCATTGGAGATAGAAAGAACCCCAGAGACCATCTATTCCAACTCTTCTCATTTGAAATATGAGGAAGCTGAGGGCCAGAGAGCTGAAGTTTTTGCCCTAGATCAGAGTGACTCTGGGCACTTGGCTTATTAGTTGTAAGGTGTGTGTGTGTGTGTGTGTGTGTGTGTGTGTGTGTGTGTGTGTGCGCGCGTGCGTGCGTGTGTCTACTCCTTCAGGATGGGTGGTCCTGGGTTTTGTGATTCTGAACCCAGGGCAGCTAAGATTCCCTTGTCCCCAGACCCAGGGACTGATCTCTTCTTATAGATTCTTTTGCGTTTTCTCCCTTCTCTCTTCCCTCCCCTGCCCTCCCCTCTCCATGCATCCAACCCTCCTCCCTTCTTTCCCCCTCCCCTCTCCATCTTTTCCAGGAGGGGCCACATCCCCTTTCAGCAGCCCCATCACATCAGATGAAGAGTATCTGAGCCCTCCTGAGGAGTTCCCAGAACCAGAAGAGGCCTGGCACAGAACTTCTGCCATGAAGCTCAGCCCCAGCCAGACTCAAAGCACCCCAGATACCAGCTCCAGGGCTCCCCCCATCTTCAAGGTTAGATCTCCGAGAATGAGTGTGGTCCAGTTCAGCTGGGAGCTTTCCCCAGGGAACGCCTGTGGGGCCCCTAGCTCCTATGCCCTGTGCCCATCCTGTCACCCCGAGTTCTTGGTGTAGCCCCAGAGACAAGGGGCTCCCTGCTTCCCCTGTGCCTCTGCCACCTCCCTGGATCTCTGTCCATAAGGATTTGTTCCTTCCCTGATGTTTATTCTCAGCCAGAGAATACAGTTGTCCTTACTCAGATCCTGATACTCTCTCTGCTTCACTCCCCTCCCTCCACACCACAGTCCTTGACTTCTCCTGGGTATAGAACAGTGGCCCATTCCATACCTCACCTCCTCACCCTTCTGCTCCAGAAGCCATTGCCTTGGTCATCCTTACTTCGTATCACCTCAAGTCTCCCCCTTTTAGGTTTCACTCATGGACCAGTCAGTAAGGGAGGGCCAGGATGTGACCATGAGCATCCGAGTGCAGGGGGAGCCCAAACCTGTTGTCTCCTGGTAAGTACCCGAGGCCCTGGTTTTCTATTAACTCTTCTATTAACTCTTTTAACCCTTATTAGAGATCACAAGGTCATACTGGACATGTTAAAGATGGCCGGGGGTGGACCCTTCTGTAACTAGCCATGAGCCTGCTACCTTCCCCATAATCTATTGTCCAACCCTCCCGCATCATCCTCAGAATTGGGATAATAAATCACAGACCCTACAAAAGGGGGGAGGTCAGAATAAGAAATTCCTGACTTCTAGAATTCCAAGAAATTCTGATCTCCAAAAGGCCTCTGGCTTCCAGGCCTGAATATAGCCCTTCCCTAGGAGAAAAATGTGGATGATGTAAGGAGTAGCATTATATCTTATATTTATCCACGTCTTACCTAAATTAGTATTGTTGTGCATACAGCAGGTGTTTAATAAACATTCATGGAAATGTTTCTGCTTCCTCTATGACCCATTTGGTAGAGGGGTGGTTAGCTGCCCAGTTTCATGTAGAAGTTGACTATGTCCAAATCACTGCTCCAGCCAACTCCTCCCACCCCCAACCCCTCTTGCTGGCCTTACTACCACCACCACCACTCCCACTACTGCTATCACCATAAACACCAATAGTGTGATAGGGCTCTTCTCCAGTTGTGGAGAAAAAAATCCCCCACTTCCTCTCTTCATTTGGCAGTATTTCTCAGGACCCCTTTCTGAATTTTTGCTTCCTCAGTGGCAGGTATCCATCTTCCCAGAATAGGGATTCTTGACTTGTCCATGAACTTGTTTTTTATAAAAAAAATACTGGGGCAGCTAGGTGCTGCAGTGGATAGAGCTCCAGCCCTGGAGTTAGGAGGACCTGAGTTCAAATCCAGCCTCAGATACTTAGTAGCTGTGTGACGTGGGCAAGTCACTTCCTCCAAAAAAATTACTTTCATAGCTATTTCAATATAATTAATTTCCTTTGTAATCCTATGCATTTTATTTTGTGCAGTTAAGAACATTATTCTGAGAAGGGGTCCTCCATTGCTCCACCAGACTGCCAGAGGGGTCTAGGACACATCAAAGGTGCCCTAGAGCCCATCAGTCATACCGCCTTAAAGCTAAAAGGGACAGTAACAGCTATCCTGTCCAACCTCCTTATTTTACAGATGAGGAAACTGAGGCCTAAAAAGGTTAAATGACTTGCCCATGGTTATACAGCTAGTAAGTGTCAGAGTGATTGGATTGGAAATCATGTCCTCTTGACTCCAAATCCAGTATTTTCATGCTGCTTCTACTCTAGCCCCCTCATTTTATTAGTGATAAAATTGAGTCTAGAAGGCCAGTGATTTCACCAAGTTCTCAAAGGTAGTAACTGACAGACGTGGGATTTGAACCCTGATCCTGTGACTTGCAATCAGTTGCTTTTTCAAAGGAGGTGATTTGCCTAGCACATAGTAGGTGTTTAACAAATGCTTGTTCCCTTCTCTTCCCCTTTACCCATAATGCTTCCTCTGATCCACCACTATTTGGCAAATAATGCTGTTTGCTCTGTACTGTGCTAGACACTGTGAGGGGATACAAAATAAGGGGATGACTAAGAAAAATCCATTTTAATATTTGAAAGTTCCAGAAGGTCATTCCCAGGGAAGAGGTGGGTGGGGAAGAGGTGGGGAGAGAAGAGGGTCCTCTGTCCACTGAGGCAAATTGTGTTTTATATTTCTCTATGTCTTACCTAGACTTTGTATCACCCTGCTCATTGTTCTGTGCATACAGTAGGTGCTTAATAAATGTTTGTAGAAATATTTCTGTTTTCTCTGTGGCCCATTTCCAGCTTTTCCTGCAGTCAGATGGTGATTTTGTGAATTGCTGTGGCCAAATAAATTTATCACACGATGGTGGCGAATTTCCCTGAACGTGGCTAACCCAGTCCTAGGATGCTAGATTTATCTAAAGTCATCACTGGTGCCATCTTGGAAACCTTTTCAGTGAGGTGCAACTCTCCTTTCCACAATGAAACAGTAGGGTCATGCTTCAGCAAAGGGCATGAAACTACTGCCTGGCATTAAGAGTTTATGCTGCAGCTACCAAATCCATTTTCTCTCCACCTCCCCCACCGTTATCTCATTTGATTCTCCCAATAACCCTGTGATTTCAGTAGAGTCGATATTAGTATCCTGATGTTAAAGATAAGGAGACAGGCTCCGAAAAGTTAAATGATTTGCCTAAAGTCACACAGCTGCTAAATGGCAAAGTTGGAGCGTGAGCCCAATTTATTTTTTCAAATTCAATTTTATTTTATTTTCAGGTCCCCATTCTCTCCCTACTACTTCCCACCCCCTCCCAACACTGAGAAAACAAGAAAGAAAAAACCATTACAAACATGTATAGTCAAGCAGAACAAATCCCCACATTGACCATGCTGATAGAGATAGATAGATAATAAAAGTGTATATACATAAATATAGATACATAGATGTAATATATAAATACATATGCATAGAGGTATATATATATGTAGCATATGTGTATATGTACACATGGGTATATATAAACATAATACATATCTATACCTATATGTATATACTATACATATGTATATATACACACAGGTCTATATGTATAAATATAATACATATATTATGTACATGTAGCTCCATGTATATATCTACATACATATAGGTGTGTATGTGAAGTATGCTCTATAGACATATACACATGTGTATATGCACAACACATGCATGTGTGCCCATATACATATATGTGAGTATATATGTCTTTATATGTCTGTCTACCTTTTTGCATTTTGAGTCCCTCACCTCTCTATCCAGAGGTAAGTGAGGAGCATGCTTTATCATGAGTCTTCTGGAATTGTGGTTGGGCGCCCAAGTCTCTTGAAATCCGATCCAGAATATTTCCATGATATCATGCTGACTCTGAGAGAAATATAAGACTTACTCTTCCCTCCAGAAGCTTATAATCTTTTTAGGGAAGTGAGGCAGATACTCTTGGAAACAGGACAATTAAATGCCACGAGTTCCTGGTGATCAGTGTAAGAGGTGTCCAGAGGAAGAAGTCAGTGTGGGTTGGAGACCTCCTGGGTCTTATCATGTAGGAGTTGGAATGGTATCATTGTGGGTGTGTGTGCGTGTGTGTGTGTGTGTGTGCGTGTGTGTGTGTGTGCGCGCACACACCTGCCTTGGGCCCCCACCTGCCATAGGGTTCTGCACATTCGTAGACCCAGGATCTATCAACAAGTGTTTAAGTGCTTTCAATGCACCAAGGACTGTTCTAGTCACTGAGGCTACAAAGACAAGAATGAAACCCTCAAGGATTTCGTGAATGTTTGTGAGTGCATGGCATGGGGGTGATAGTGTACTTAGCTCTTCAGGTTGAGGGCGCCCTGAGGGAAAGGAGGAGGTTGGGAATCCAAAGCCCGCGGCTGAGGGCCTTGTCCCCACTGGCAGGCTTCGGAATCACCAGCCTGTACGCCCGGACCAAAGACGCTTTGCTGAGGAGGCAGAAGGTGGCTTGTGTCGGCTTCGTATCCTGGCAGCGGAACGTGGAGATGCTGGCTTCTATACCTGCAAGGCAGTGAATGAATATGGCACCCGGCAGTGTGAGGCCAGACTGGAGGTCAGAGGTAAACCTCCTGCATGCCTCTTCTCTTCATGGTTCCAATGGCTCTTACCCCAGGCCCACTAGGCCCCTAAGAAGTGGAAGGAGGACTGGTACCCAGGGAACACCTTCTACTTAGAGTATCTCATTATCTTGGAGAATGCCAGATCTGGGGATCACCACAGACATCGCTTGGTTCCAACCTTTCGTTGGCGGTGGCAACAGGTGAATGATTTGGCCGAGGTTACCTAGTGAATTAGAAACAGAGCGTAGACTAGAAGGCAGATCTTTTGACTCTCGGTCCATGCTATTTCTACCATATTGTGTCTCAGTCAAGACCTCAGATTCTGCCCCCTACCCCCTGCTCTGTGCTGGCCTGCTCCCTGAGTTTCTTCCCTGGTACCCTTCCTTCTGTCTCCTACAACCTCATGCCCCTTCTGTTCTTCTTTCTCCTCCTCTCCCTGCACCCAGATTTCCCAACCTTCCTTTCTGCTCCATTCCCACAACCCCCTTTTCCTTTCTCTTCCCTTCCACCTCTCCCATCCCACCCCCATTTTTCCCTCCTGATTGTAGTGTTTTGCAGAAATTGTCATTGTGGGGGGTTGGTGACTGGACCCGTTCGGAGTGACTCTTGGGTGAAAGTATCTCAGGGTCACAGGAGTCTGTCTGTCTGCTGTTCCTGACCCAGAGGCTCTGGGACCTAGGGATGGCAGAGAAGAGGGAAATTCAGGTCTTAGTGTTTAGTGCCTGGGCAGGGTCAGTGGAAGGGGCTTGAGTCACGTGGGTGTGTTCATGGCCTGTCTTGGGGCATAGATGATAGGACATGGGATATAAGGACTGTTGATGGGTAGCAAGCTGGCCAAAGTTGTGGGTCTGCCCCACACTCAGTCTGATGCTTGAGTCTTTACTCCTAAGTGGGAGATGGCACATTGTTCCTTCTCTTGCCTTCCTCTCTTTCTCCCCTCCGTCCCCCTTAGTATCTGATTGAGTGACCTAAGGACCACACCTCCTCTTGGCTTATCTGAGTCTTGGCCCTCTTGTTTCCCTGGCTGCCTTCCGTCACCTGGGATGCCCGTGATAGGCTTGGTATAGCTAGAGTGGTGTTTTCCATGGGGAAAGGAATTTCCAGTAAAATATACTGCCTTCCTACCCCCTGGCCTCCTCTGCCCGGCCTCCACCATCTTTCTTTGTTTTTTCTGCCCTGTGTTTTCCCCCATGCACTAATGGCCACCTCTTCCTGAGTGAGCCAGACCTGGAGCCCCATTCCCAGAGTCACCCTGGCTGCTGCCCCTATCTCTGCCATGCTTTTCTGTATTAACCTGTGTTGAGCGCTTTTCTCCTCCAGACATTTTCTTTCTTGGCCTCTAGCACTCATAGGCAGTGGTTGGGGCTCTCTTGGCCATTGAGTGCCTGCCTTTCTCCTGACTTGGTGAGGGAGAGGCTGCTTTTCAGGCCACTGCCTTCCCCTAGCCCATCCCCTGGGAGGCCTGCATCAGGGACTTGAAGGCAAGATGCCCTCTTACGGGAAAGCCACGAAAGCTGCTTAGAAGCAGCTTCTTGGAGTTCTTCCTGTCCAGTCAAGTCCCCCAGCCACCCACCTGCAGGTGTGTGGGTGTGTGCGTGTGTGCGTGCATGTGTGTATGTGCGTGTGTGCGCGTGCGTGTGCCAGACTAACCTGCCGCTTGCTGACTGCGGTTTTTGTCTGTACACAGGCGAGTGAGCTCAGGGGGCCGCCTGCCCTCCCTCCCGCTGCCCTTCGTGCCACACGCCTCTGGCTCAGGCACCACTTGGACCTCGCTGTGTCTCACTGCCTCCTGCCCACAGACCCAACCGGCGAGCCGGCCCGGACCCCTGGCCTCCCGGCCTCCCCACCCCGTGTGGTGCCCCGGGTCTGCCCGTGGGCTCAGCGGAGCTCCCCCCTTCCCTCCCCAAGTGGACGTATGGACGGGCGGGCACCGAAGCCCCCAGTTGGACCGTGTGTAGGGTGGGGAGGTGGGGCTGAGTTGGGGCATTGAAACTCCCCTCCCCCTGTTGTGGGAGCACCAAGCGCATGGGTTGCTGCTGTTGCTGCTGCTGCTGCTGTTGCCGCGGCTTTGGAACACCGTCTATCTGTCCAGGGCTCATTGTCTATCTGTTGGTCTCTCTCTCAGTTGTACCATTGGGGTGGGGTGACTCAGAGAACATCCATTCTGGGCAGAGTGGGGTAGGGAGGGGTTCTGATTAGGGTAGGCTGGGGGATCCCTGCTGGTTGGCATCAAGGACCATTCTAGGAAGAAGCACAGTTAGGGGTGGAGGGGGCATGTGGAGGTATATCGGGGACCAAAGTCTCTGCTAATATTCCTCTCCTCCCCCCCACTTCAGGGTCTGGAGGGAGGGTGGGGATGATGACCATTCCAGAAGTGGTTTTCCAATGGCACAAACATTTTTCATTTCCCCAAGTGACCAAAAGCCAAATACCTCTCTGGCTCCTGGGACCCTAGGGTAGGTGAGGCAGGGCACAGGGCGAGGATGAGGATGGAGGGACAGGGCACCTGATGGCTATGGCCAAGCAGGCTTAGGCCCCTCTAGTCTGCAGGCTGGATGGGGGGGTCATTTGGTCCATTTTGTAGCTGCCCTTGTCTCTGCCCAGCAAGGACAAGCTCTGCCTCAGTATTGGGGGCGAGAGGGGATGGTGTCACCAGGCATGTGATGTGGGAGGGGACGCGGAGCACTTGGTAATGCCTGGTCTTAAACTCTAATAAAGTCTGGTTTGTACCCAGCTGGTGTGGTTGTTTGTTGTGCCGCCGCCCCCCCAATCCCAACCCCCTTCTCAATCTGGCATTGCCCTCCTCCCTCCTTCCTCCCCTTCCTCCTTTCCCCTCTCTTATGTTTCCTTCACTGAGGCCCAGCCTAGGTCAGCCCCCAAGTAGGACCACTGCCTTTCCTGGAGCCTTTCTGCCCTACTCTGCTGGCACCAGGCCCTGTGGCTTCCTCCTGCCTGGGTTCTGGTCCCACTTTCCCTTTCTTTAGGGACCAAATTGCATCTCTCTCTCTTTCTCTCTGTTACTCGTCTGTCTGTCTGTCTGTGTCTCTCTCTACACCCCCCTCCCACTCTGTGTGTCTTTCTGCTCTTTGTGTATCCCCCTACCTCCTCTCTCCTGCCTCTGCTCCCCCAGTGCACCCTGAAAGTCGGTCCCTGGCGGTGGTGGCCCCCCTGCAGGACGTGAACGTGGGGGCCGGGGAGATGGCGCTCTTTGAGTGCCTGGTCACGGGCCCTGCAGACGTGGAGGTAGACTGGCTGTGTCGGGGCCGGCTGCTGCAGCCTGCCCTACTCAGGTGTAAGATGCACTTTGATGGGAGGAAGTCCAAGCTGCTGCTCACATCTGTGCACGAAGATGACAGTGGCGTCTATACCTGCAAACTTAGTACAGCCAAAGGTATGCTTCCTCCCCTCCTCCAGGGTGGGATGTGAGACAGCATGGGGGACATAGTGTAAGGGACAAGGGATGCAGTGATGTTTCTGAGGGGGGAGCCAGAGAAAGACTGACCCTGGGCATCAGGAGCCCTGGACCCCAGAGCTTCCTAGGAAATTAGGATTTTCTTGGAATCAGGCTCTCCAGGGCCTGTGTCCCCATCTCCTTTGTGAGTGTTGGGAGTTGGCATCAATATGCCACTGGGGTTGGGAGGGGAGGAGAGGGAGGGCTAGTTAAGGACAATGGAGATGGTTGCTTGGTATGGGGATGGAGATGAGAGTGGCTAGACAGAGGTGATTCAGGGAGAAACAACCATCATATTTGAGATCTGGGTGGTACTGGGGTAAGGCTCAGTGCAGAGGGGTTGGGGAGCAGGGAGTGCCAGCTCCAAGTTCCCCTCTTAGGAACTGTTGGGACTATTGGTTCGTGTCTCAGAACAGGCCACCCTGGTTGGGGCAGGTGGGTGAGATAGGATGGCAAGCTCTTCCATCCATACGGACACTCATATCAGGGGCCAATTCAGTGCTTCCAAATTCCTTCCTAGCAGATCTTACCTGATCCTATTCTTTCCTATGCCTCCTGTCAAGGTGCAGCCTTCATCCACGAGAATATAAGCTCTTTCATAGAAGGGACTGTTCTATATTCTGTCTGTGGATCAATTAAATCCAACAAACATTTATCTAATTAATTGAATTAATAAGTGCTCTGTATGAGGCATTGTGCTAGCACTGGGGACACGGGAGTGAAGCCATCCTTGTCCTCAGGGCACTTCTGTTCTTCTGGAAGCCGCATTGCACACCCAGATGAGTGTGATTTGAGAAGAGAGGTCACTAACAACCTGGAGAATGGGGTGGAGCCTCAGGGAGAAGATAGCACTTGAGCTAAGCCTGGAAGGACGCTGAGAGTTCTAAGAAGTAGAATAGAAGAGAAGTGAATTTCAAGCACAGAGGCTGGAGAGGTTTTCCAATTTGGGGGCACAGCAAGCAGGCTGCTTTGGCAGAAAGACAGACTACAAAGGAGAATAAGCTAGAAAAACAGACTGGAGATCTGAGTTTTGCATTGAAAAAAAATTAAAAACAGTTAGCGGTACATGGAATAGAATGGTGGATTTGGAGCTAGAAAGACCTGAGTTCCAATCCTGCCTCAGACACTTACTGGCTAGGTGACCCTGGGCAAGTCACTTAATTCCCACTCAGCTTCAGTTTCTCCTTCTGTAAAATGGAGATAGTAATAGCACCTACCTCCTCTGGTTGTTGTGAGGTTCCAATGAAATAACATGCAAAGTGCTTTGAAAACCTAAAAGTACTGTGTGAGAAGCCACCACTAAAAAGCCAGAAAGTGAAGAGCTTTGATCGCTAAGCTGAGGGGTTTGAAGTTTACCCTAGAGGCAAAAGGGAGCCATAGAAAGTTTTTGAGCAGGAGAGTGACATATGAGACCAATGCTTTAGGAAGGTTGTTTTGACAGCGTTGTGGAGGATAGATTGGAAAGGGGAGAAGCTAAAGGCAGGGAGTCTAATGAAGTGACTATTGCAATAGTCGAGGTGGGAGGTGGGAAGGACGTGAGTTGGGGTGCTGTCCAGATGGAAGGAGAGAGGGAGAGGGATGTTGTGAAGGTAGGACTGATGAGTAATTCAATATGGTAGGAGTAGGGTGCTAAGAGAAAGGGAAGAGTCAAGTTTTGAAAACAGGTGACTGAGGGCAGATTTAGCTGGGGGGGAAACACTGAGTTCTATTCTGGATATGTTAAGCTTAAGTTTCCTGTGAGACGTCCAAGTGGGTGATGCAGGAGTGTTGTCCAATAGAGATTAGGATGGGTAAATTTGGGAATCATCTGCGTAAAGATGGTCATTGAACCTATGGAAGCTACTGGGGCCACCAAGAAAGTGAAGGTATAGAAAGAAGAGATCCGTGGAGGATGCCCATGTTTGAGGGAAAGACCAATGGGTAGTGTGATTCAGCAAAGGATACTGAGGAGTAGTCAGACAGACGGATGGAAAGCCAGAAGAGGCCAGTGTCACAAAAACAAGGGAGTAGGGGACAGTATACAAGAGAAGGGATTGATTGACAATGTCAGTGAGGGCAATAAAAATAGTAATAACCAGCATTTGTATAGTTCTTTAAAGTTTTCAAAGCACTTTACTTATGTTTTCTCATTTGACCCTCACAACAACACTGTGAGGTAGGTGCTGTTGTTATCTCCATTTTACAGATGAGGAAACTGAGGCAGGCAGAAGTTATGTGACTTTTCCAGGGTCACTCGGCTAGTAGTGTCTGAGGCAGGATATTAACTCAGGTCTTCCTGACTCCAAGTCCCACATTCTATCCACTGTATCATCCAGCTGCCTGCAAAAAGGAGGAGGTATGAGGAAAAGGCTATTGGATTTAGCAATTAAGAGATCCTTAGTAACCTTGGAATGAGTATTTCCAGTTGAATATTGGATTTGAAAACCAGATTACATATGGCTGAGAAGTACATGGGAGGTGAAGAAGTAGATGCAATAAATATAAATGGTCTTTTTTACTAGAGGTTTGGGTGTGGAAAGAAGAGATATGGGATGTTAGCTTGAGGGGATGGCAGGGTAAAGTGAAGGCTTTTAATGATGAGGGACACCTGACCATGTTTGTTGGCAGTGTGATGAAGAGACAAGGAGAGATAGAGTATGAGAGAGAGACAAATAGACAGAGAGAGAGACACACACAGAGATAGAGAGATGGAGAGAGAGAGAGAATGATTGATGGAACAACCTCCTGGAGGAGGCAGGAAGGGATTGGACCAAGAGCGAAAGTAGAGGGATTGACCTTGGGAAGGGAGAAAATGAGGGACAATGTCGAGTTTTTGAAGTGCAGAGTAGGAGGGAAAGGGCAGTTCATGATGGGTGGCCTTGATTTTCTCAGTGAAGTTGAAGGCATGATTCTCTGCTGAGAGGAAGGATGGAGGGAATAGTGGAGGGGAGAAGAGAAGAGAAGGTTTGAAATAGCCTTCTTGGGGAGTTGGAGAGAGTCTGACGTGCAGCAGTGAGCAAGGAGCCTGGGGCGTACTAGATAACTTAACAATTTTGTCAATTGATTTTTTCTTGGTTGAATTGACTTCCTAAGGTCTTGGGCTGAACCAGGCTCTGCTGAAGCCATTCTCAGAGTGGTGAGCAACCTGTCCCTATTCTTTTCCTATAATGTCCTGGTACTCTTACTTGGTAAATGTCCTGATGCCCCTGTTTCAGAGGACTCCTCTTCCAGAGACAGTTAGGTGGTACAGTGGATAGAGTGCTGGGCCTGGAGTCAGGAAGACCTGAGTTCAAATCCAATTTCAGATATTAGCTGTGTGACCCTGGGCAAGTCATTTAATTTCTGTCTGCCTCAGTTTCCTCAACTGTAAAATGAGTAATAGCACCTACCTCCCAGGGTTTTTTGAGGATCAAATGAGTTAATATTTGTAAAGCACATAGCATAGTTCCTGGTGCATAGTAGGGACTTAATAAATCCTTGTTCTTTCCTCCTCATCTCTTCACCTCCCTTCCACCCCCAAAACCAGATGAACTGACCTGCAGTGCCCGACTGACTGTTCGGCCCTCACTGGCACCATTGTTCACAAGGATGTTGGAGGATGTGGAAGTGTTGGAGGGCCGTGGAGCTCGGTTTGACTGCAAGATCAGTGGCTTGCCACCCCCCACCATCACCTGGACTCATTTTGGTAACGGTGCTTTAGTAAGATTCTTTTGGCAGCTGGGTGGGGGATGGACTAGAGAATGATGTCATCGCTCAAAAAACTTCTGTGGCTCTCTAGTCTAGCTCCAACCTACTTTTCCAGCCTTATTTCATGTATTGACCCCTCTCCCCATGTTTTTCTTCCTTCCCCAACCTGACTGAGACTAGAACCTAACTTTGAAGCTCTTTAGCCTTTAGTCTCCAGGGGTGATAGTGTGTGTGTGTATGTGTGTGTGTGTGTGTGTGTGTGTGTGTGTGTGTTTGTCTGGTGGGGTGAGGGAAGAGCATCTTCCCAGACTGCCCTTCATCCCCCATTCCAGGCCTATTGCCCTCTTGTTTCACCTGGTTTCTTCCCCTCTTTGATAATTCCTGGGCACTTTTTCCACTGCCATCACTACTCTGCCTGCCTCCTTACTGTGCTCTCTACACGCTTCCACTTCTGACCCCTCCTTCTTTGCCTTCGGTTCCCTCGGCTCTCCCTCTCCCCTCCTCCTCCTCCCTTCCCCCTTCCTCCTTCAGTTTCCTCATCTCCTCATTTCACCCCTTCTGCTCCTCAGGCAACCCTGTGGAGGAGAATGAGAATGTGAAACTGCGGCATGAAGGGGGCCTTCATTCCCTGCTCATAGCCCACGTGGGCAGTGAGGATGAAGGTCTGTATGAAGTCAATGCCACCAACATTCATGGACAGGCCAACTGCTCTGCCCAGCTCTACGTGGAAGAGCCTCGCTCATCCACCTCAGGTCCCAGGTATTTCCTGGGGCCCCCAGGGTAGGGTAGGGATGGGGTCTGGGGGTACTACCCACCTCCCACAACTATCTGCTTTAGCGGACTGCTCCCCCAAGGTGGGGAAGACTGGTTGGGACAGGGAGAGAAGCTAGTTCTTAGGAGCCTGTGTGTGAGGGGCGGTAGTCTTCCACTCTGGTGGGCAAGGTGAGGTCCTTCGGTTTCCTTGAGCAATTGCACCATTGGTTATAGCTCCAAGTTGGAGAAGATGCCTTCGATCCCTGAGGAGCCTGAGCAGGGAGAGCTGGAGCGGCTGTCTATGCCCGATTTCCTCAGGCCGCTGATGGACCTGGAGGTGGGACTGGCCAAGGAGGCAGTGCTGGAGTGCCAGGTGGCTGGACTGCCCTACCCCACCATCAGTTGGTTCCACAGTGGCCAGCGCATCCAGAGTTCGGATGATCGTCGAATGACGCAGTGTAGGTGTCTGGTGTCCAGCTGAGGAGGACTGAAACCCCTTGGGTGGGGGTGGGAAGTGGAAGGGGAGCAGATGAAGGAGGGGTGGGTGTCACCTAGGGCCCTGGTTACCTGGGCCCATCTTTCTTCTCTGACAACTTCTGTAAGCCCTCTCCTTGTCCTGTCTGCCCACTTCAGCCAGACCCTTTGCCTGGCCAGGGTCAAAGACCCAACGGGGCTGAGGGCAAAGGATCTTAGACAACCAGAGAGCACGAATAATGAGGATGGGCCCCCATGGTCTACCTTCACAGCTACATGCTGCCTTTCTCTTCCAGCTGTTCCACAACCCTACCATCTACTCTTCTCATGCCACCTCATCTCTCATACTGCCACCTTGTACCACCATAGACAGGGCACAACACACTCCTTTCCCTCGTGTGACTGCTGAGCAGCATACATGCCCCCTGACCTTGTCTATGATTCTGGGCCTGAATTTCTCTCTCTGTGCTTAGCTTTAGATTTTTAGGAGAGGCAAGGGGCTCATAGGGAAGAGAAACTTTCTAGTAGGGGCAGCTCACAACTGCAGTATCTCCCTCTTCCCTCTGTAAATTGTGCAGTTTTAAAGTTAGGTAAATTCGGTGGTCATAGATAAAGCCGTGGCAGGATGGTTATCAAGGGAAAAAAGGAATGTTGGGATTGGTGATCTTGACCTTTGAGACTAATTCAAGGAAGTCATGGGATTTCAACCTGGAAAGGATCTTAGGGAATGTCTAAGGTGGCATCTAGGTGGCATAATGGATAGAGCATGGGAATAGTATCAGGGACATAAGTTCAAATCCTTTTTTTTTAGCCTTTCTTTTTTTTAAAAATGTAAATAGTATTTTTCCCCCAATTACATGTAAAGATAATTTTCAAAATTCATTTTTATAAGATTTTGAATTCCAAATTTTTTCCCTTCCTCCCTCCCCAAGACAGCAAGCAATCTGATATGTTATACATAAGCAATCATGTTAAACATATTTCCACATTGGTCATGTTACTTCACCACTTTCTGCCTCAGTTTCTTCATCTATAAAATGGGGATAATAATAGCACCTACCTCTTGGGTTGTTGTAAGGATTAAAGGAGATAACATTTTTAAAGTGTTCTGAAAATCTTAAAGTGTGTTATAAATGCTCGCTATTAGGACTATTATTATTGTTATCAGCAGCTAGTCAAGCATCCATGGTTCATAAATGAGGAAGCTAAGGCTTAGAGACAGAAATTAACTTGCCTAAAATCATCCAGGTTATAAATAACAGTGCCAAGATTTGAACCCAGATCCTCTGACTCCAAGACTAGCATTCTTTCTGGGGCCATGTTGATGTGCATTCTCCTGCAGCATATCCCTTGGTAGCATTGTTAGAGACAAAGTCCTCCCCCTCAACAAACATTGGGCATCTGCTATGTATAGGGCATTAACCTCCATTTAGGGAAGGTAGAGCTATTTAAGACATACTGCCTATCCCCTGTAGGTTTCCAGTCTAATTGGGGAGATAAGACATGTACCTATGAAAAGTGAACTAACAACACAAGGCAATATAATACAGTGTATTTGAAGTGGACAGATTGCCAAGCCTGGAGTCAGGAAGACCTAAGACCAGCCTCAGACACTAGCTGTGTGACCCTGGGCAAGTCACTTAACCCCATTTGCCTGAGTTTCCTCATCTGTAAAAAATGAACCAGAAAAGGAAACGGCAAACCACTCCAGTATCTTTACCAAGAAAACCCCAAATAGGATCATGAAGAGTCAGACACGACTGAAAACAACTGACTAAACATAGCAGAGATCATGAGAGGAAAGATCACTGAGTGCTAGGGGCAGTGAGAGAAGACTTCATTAAGGAAGTAGACTGGGCCTTAAAGGAAGAAGAGAATATCGATGCATGGAGGAAGGGGTTTCCCCTAAGGTAGGGGTAATGACATGAGCATGATGCCAATGCAGAGTTAAGAATGTTTTCAGAGAACAAGTACAGTGGACAGTTGGAGGGGCTCAGTGGGCTTCTGCAGGGACATGGTAGGAACTTATTCTGGAGCAGCAGGGAGTTGCTCAGTTGTAGGGGCCTTTGTGGGCCAGGCCTGGAGTCTGGATTTTGTCCTGTAGGCATCTGAGAGTCATTAGAAGTTTCTGAGCCCATGAGTTGTGTGTGCAGAGTTGTGTAATCTTTATAAAAGTTGTCATATTTACCTGGTAGTAACGTGTGGGTTGGATCAGAGGGGAGAAAGACTGAGCAGAGGGAAGAGCTAGTGTGGTGCACTAGGGATAGCACTACACTTGGGTGCTATCTGAGGTGCTAGCTGTGGGCTCTTGGGTAAGCCCTTTCAGCCCTCTGGGGCTCAGTTTTCTCATCTGTAAAATGAGAGGGTTGGATAAGATCATCTCTAAGGTCCTTTCAGCTATGACATTTTGAAATTCTTTAATTCTAGACTATTTTGGTTCAGATGTGAGAGACTATGGGTTTGAACTAGGGTCATGGTTATGATGAAAATATAAAGGAAAAGGTGTGAGAGGCATTTTGGAAGAAGAATCAAAGAGATTTAGTGATTTACTGCTGTAGGGGGAGAGAGAGGGGGAAGAATCAAGGATGATTCCAAGCCTGGTGCCAGGGAGATTGGAGGTACTACTAATAGAAATAGAGAAATTGGAGAGGGTGGGACTAGGTTTGTTTTTTTTTTTGTTGGGGGGGAGGGTGGAGCATGGTAGAGAGACAATCATTCTAGTTTTAGGGATATTTAATTTGAAGTGAAGGGGTATCCAAGATTCTCAACAGAAATTTGAGACTGAAGGCTAGGAGATAACCTGTGTGACCTTGGGGACATTGGGCAAAGCACTTCTTCCTGAACCTCATGTGTAAAATGAGGTAATTTGATCAGATGATCTTTAAGGTCCCTTCCAGTTACAAATCATGAGCCTTAAAAATCAAAGCTAGAAATATAGACTTGGGAATCCATCTCGAGCTGGATAGACCAGGGTTCTGACCCAAGATAACCGTTCTTCTGCTCTCTCCATCCTTCCTCTTTGTCTTTGTTGGGTGCCGGCAAAAGGATGTGGCTGATGCCAGTGAGCACATAACCCTTGTCTGTGGGGTTTCCCCAAGTCTGACTACGTTTCAGGGTCTCAATTGAGCTATGGGAATCCCAGCCTTTGTAGAGTTTCCCTAGCTCTCACCTTGTGTTTGTCTTTGTACTCCTTTCCCTCCCCAGACAGGGATGTACATCGACTGGTGTTCCCAATGGTGGGGCCACAACATGCTGGTGTCTACAAGAGCGTCATCGCTAACAAGTTGGGCAAGGCTGCCTGTTACGCCCACCTCTATGTCACAGGTGAGGACCTCCTTCCTGACCACTATCTTCTGATGGTCCCTTCCCAGCCTTAGATCTGAGAATCCCTAGGTCAGAAAGAGCTGCCCCTTGGGGGCAATTGGACATTTGTCTAAAAGCTTCCTGTGGCATTCCTTTTATTTTTAGAAGGAGTGGGGGTTGAGGAGAAGAACTTTAATGGCAATTTCCATCCCAGAATCAAATAATCAATAGCAGGTGCTTATGCACCTCACATAGTGTTCTGTCTGGTGGCCTAGTATGTATGGCTTGCCCTGAACTAGACAAAGATTCTTTTTTTTTTCTTTTTCTTTTAAATAGTATTTTATTTTTTTTCCAATTACTTGCATTTTTAACATTCATTTTTACATAAAATTTTGAGTTCCAAAATTTCTCCCTCCCTTCTGCTACCCCTCTTCCCTAAGATGGTAAGCAACTTGATATAGGTTATATATGTGCAATCATGTAAAACATATTTCCATATTAGTCATTTTGTGAAAGAAGAAACAGAGCAAAAGTAAAAAAAAAACACACAAAAAATAAAGTGAAAAGCATATGCTTTGATCTGCATTCAGAATCCATCAGTTCTTTCTCTGGGTGTGGATAGCATTTTCCATCATGAGTGTTTTGAAATTGTCTTGGATTATTGTATTGTTGAGAAGAGCTAAGTCAATCATAGTTGATCATCTCACAATGTTGCTGATACTGTGTACAATGTTCTTCTGGTTCTGCTCACCTCACTTTGTACCAGTTCATGTAATAGACAGGGATTCTTGACCTTTATTTGTGTCATGGACCTCTTTGGCAAGCTGATGAAAGTTATGGACTTCTCATCAGAATAATGGTTTTTTTGTAAAAATTCATAATAGAAAGAAATGCAAAATTTTAGTTAGAGGCTATTGAAAATAAAGATGTATTTTTTTCTATCCAAGTTCATGGATCCTCTGAAATCTATCCACAGACTGCTTGGGGGGGGGTAGGGCATGGACTCTAAGTTAAGATATCTTGGTCTAGAGTTAGAAAACTTGGGTTCAAATCTTGGCCCTAGGGACCACATGCAACCCACAACACTCCTAAGTGTGGCCCAAACCAGATTAAAATGTAATTGGGAAATATTTAACAAAATAAATAAAAATGTAGAAAAACATAGGTAATATTACTTCTTTCATTTTTTTCCTTTTTTTGAATAATATTTTATTTTCCCCCAATTACATGTAAAAACAATTTTTAACATTTATTGTTTAAAATTTTTGAGTTCTAAATTCTCTCCTTTCCTCCCTCCCCTGCCCCTTCCCTGAGGCACTAAGCCATGTGATATAAGTTATACGTGTGCAATCATGCAAAACATATAATATCATATTTAAAAACTAAGTCCATGTACAGCCTGCAGGGATCCTTGTGCACGGTTTAGTGGTTTTCTATTTGAGCACCTCTCTAAGACCAAGTTGCCAAGAAGGGGCCAACCTGTATTTGTAGAGAGAGTTCCCTAGATTCGCTCTGGTCAGAGGACCAGTTTAGCTCAGTTTGGAGATGCTCATCACCAAGTTGGTGACAGAAAGTAGTCAGGACTTGGGGGAAATGATGCAGAGTGAAATGAACAGGGCCAGAAGAATAATTTCTATAATAGCAATAACATTGAACAGACAAACTACTTTGAAAGACTTCAGAGCTCTGATCAATGCGTCACCAGCCATGAAGTCAGAGCACCAATGATGAAGCATGTTATCCACCTCCTAACACAGAGGTGACAGACTCAGGGTGCAGAATGAGACATACATTTTGGGGCATGGCCAATGTGGGAATTTGTGCATGTTTGTTCCAAAGGTTTTCTTTTTTTTTCTCTTCTCTATGAGGGTGGGGCGTAGGAGGGAGAAAAATAGATTTTTTTTTGTTAATTAAAAACAATTAAATTTAGAAATTTGAAAAAGAAGTCAGACTACAGGAAGTTGGATGATAAAAGTTTTTAGCTACAGAAATTCACAAAGATTGTCTATTAAGGCAGGATGATTAATGATGATGATGATGATGATGGTGGTGGTGGTGGTGGTGGTAGTAGTAGTATGGTGATAACTGATGTATCTATGCCTGAAATTTACTCAATGGTACTTGGATAGCTCTTGTGACTCTGGCATTCCTTCCAGGGAGACATGGGGTCACTCCCACCTCACTGGAATTGAGATATGGGGTCTACTCCCACCTCACTGGAATTGCTTTTTGTCATGGCTTTCAGATTTAGTGCCTGGTCCTCCTGATGGGCCCCCACAGGTGGTGACTGTGACTGGGAGAATGGTTATGCTCAAATGGAACCCTCCCAGAAGTGTCGACATGGCCATTGGTAAGTCAGGGCTGTAGAGGGAAACCAGGAATCCAGGTGGGCATGTTTTGCCGTAGGGGAGCATAGAGGTTTAAGGAGGGCCACAGGTGTTGAGTTAAGCTTGCTAAATGGAGAGAAACAGAGAGGAGAAAGGCTGCTGGAAAGGAGAGCAGGTTTGGGTGGGTGAGATTGCAGCCCTTTTTCCATTCCCTAGTCCCCTCCTTTCCCTCCCCACATCAGCTATGAGTCGTCACTGGGAGTTAAAGCTTAAGAAACAGATATTTCACTACATTCAGCTGTGTCTGCTAAACTACTGATCTGGCCCTTGGGCTGGGGATGCAGAATATATGGGTCTCTATCCTGGGACTGTTTGGGGCTATGCTCCTACTCTGTGCCTCAGTTTTTCTTCTTAGACAGGCATTCTTGGCTGTGCTCACATGATGCAACATGAAGTAATAGAAGCAAAACTGGATTTGAAATCAGAAGACCTGGGTTCAAATCTTGGCTCAATATTTACTAGTTGTGTGGCCCTAGGCAAATCATTTAACCCCTCTGGACCTTCGTTTTCTTATTTGTAAAATGAGGGGCTTGGTTTAGATAACATTTAAGGTCCCTTCCAGCTCTAAAACTACGACATTGTGATCCTATGACGTACTATATTTCCTTCTACTCTGTGTGTCCAGTAACTGGGACCCCGACCTACCACCTCTCTTCCCCTTATTCTCCAAGTCTGGTATAGCAGGAGTCCCTCTTTTCCCCAGGAAAGCAACAGGGAAGAAAAGCCTTGTCTAAGAGTTTTGGGGACTAGAGTGGGGGCAGGAAAACCTTTCTACAAAGAAGTGTCTGCTACCTGCTTTCCTTCCATCAGATCCAGACACTCTGACTTACACAGTTCAACACCAAGTGGTAGGTTCAGGCCAATGGACGGCTCTGGCCACGGGCCTCCGGGAGCCAAGCTGGGCAGCCATGGGGCTGCGCAAGGGGGCACAACACATCTTCCGAGTCCTCAGCACCACAGTCAAGAGCAGCAGTAAGCCTTCCCCAGCTTCTGAACCCGTGCAGCTCTTGGAACGGGGTAGGTGGCCTACTAGATGGTGGTTTTGGGATGCTCTTGATCCCTGGTGAATGGGGACAGGGTAGGAGTGGTGGTTAGAACCTGCTATGGATGGTGTTGAGTGACGGGGGAAAAGCGGTCCTAGATGGGGATTGAAAGAAAACCCGATATGGTAAGACAGTGCTGGGCAAGGGATTATGATAAACCGGGAATCCAGGGAAGAAAAGAGATAAATTTTCCTAGCCCTACCACAGACCAAGCATTAGAACCTCCAGCTTCTAAGCTTCTGTGATGCCTTATATGATTTCTACTTGACAGCATCCTACTCATCTTACTGTGTCCTGTGTTTCCTGCTGCCCCAGCACCTGCCTAGGCCTGCAGGCTACTCTTGGTTCTCCTAGATTCTCTTGGCCTAAGGGTAGAAATAACCCATTTCCTTCCTCTTAGTTCTTCTGAGCATATCTGTGCGTATGCCTGTCAGGTATTGCCTATGGGTGTTGTAAACCGCCAAGTATTTCCCTGGTGGAAGTCAATGGAACTATGACTCAGTCAAAGTAGGTAGAGCTTTGCAGATATGGCCACTGGGAGGACTAGCCCCAGAAATTCATGACAGGAGACCCAGGAGGGGTTCTAGCCTTAAAAGGCAAAATTTAGTCTTTCACAGAAAAAGCTTTACTAGAATTCAAGGGAGCAAAGGTTAAATACAACGTTGGTATGATATAGAATTGTAGAGCTATTGAACTTGGGAATCTCATCCTAAATCAGGGGTTCCTAACCTGGGGTCCCTGAACTTTAACAAAAAGCTTTTGGTAATTATATTTCAATAGAATTGATTTTCTTTGTAATCTTATGTATTTTGTTTTATACATTTAAAAGTGTAATTCTAAAAAAAATTAAATTAAAATAAAAAAAAAACTATGATTTTGAGAATAGGCTTTGCCAGACTGTTGAAAGGGTCCATGACCCAGAACAAGTTAAGAACCCTTTTCCTACAGTACAACAGAAGTACTCAGAAGCTGAGCCTCAACTTTACCTTCTGGTTTTGTAACCTTGAGCAAGACCCTGACCTTCTCTGACCCTTAATTTCCCTATCTATAAAATAGACCTAATACTTGTATTACCTAAGGCAATTGGACGGAAAGTGCTTTATAACCTATGAAGTGCCATATAAATGGGAGTTATTATTAATAATAAGATAGCCCTAATCTTGCTGTAAAGGTTGGCACAAGCTTCGCGGCTGACTAGCTACCGCCTTCCTTTACCTACCCCCTCCTATCCAGCTTTCCTGTGATGCCACCATTTTGCCATAGGAAAAAATCTCATTATCTTGAGTCTCTAATCCAGCTCCAGTCTCAGGTTCCTTCTGCCTCTCAGGGTTAGCCCTGCTCCTGGGTCTCCTCTTATCAATTTCCAGGGCTAGTCCTCCCAGTGGCCATATCTGCAAAGCTCTACCTACTTTGGCTGAGTTCCATTGCCTTCCACCAGGGAAATACTTAGCAGTTTACAACACCCACAGGCAATACCGGAAAGACATATGCACATACAATTTGTACCAACAAGTGAAGAGTCTTTCTTTAGAAGGGTGTCACCTTATAGACTGGGTTGAAGGGGTAGTATCAGACCCAGTGTGGGAAGCAGAGAGATAGAGTACCAGAAAGGGGATTAGAGGACCTCAGTTCAGGTCCCATCCCTGCCTCTGTGCTCCTCAGGCATTGAATCAGATGAGTTCTCAGGTCCCTTCCAGCTCTTAGCTTTCTGTGTTTCTATGATGGATTCTTCTCTCCTACTTCTATAGCTCTGGGTAGACTCATGTGTTTCCCCCCCTCCTCACTCCATCTATTCTGTTCTAGGCCCAGTTCTAGAAGAAGCCCCTGTTGTGCTGGACAAGCCAGATGTGGTGTATGTGGTAGAGGGGCAGCCGGTCAGTGTCACTGTCACCTTCAACCACGTGGAAGCCCAAGTCATCTGGAGGAGGTGCTTTTAACTACTGGCTCTGCTCCTCCTTACTCAGGGCATTCTCACCTCAGCCCTCTACCGTGTCTTAGCCCCAAGCAGTGGTCTCAACCCTACCCAATCTGTGCTCCGTCTATGCTATAATGCTCGCAGCCCTCATTGAGGGTGATCATTTCTCTCCTCTCTATCCCCTTCCAGCTGTCGAGGGGCACTGTTGGAGGCACGTGCAGGAATGTATGAGCTGAGCCAACCAGATGATGACCAGTATTGTCTGCGCATTTGCCATGTTAATCGACGAGATGTGGGGCCCCTCAGCTGTACAGCACGAAACCGGCATGGCACCCAGGCTTGCTCCATCACCCTGGAACTCGCAGGTGGGCCTGGGGTCCAGGGCTCATGCCAATACTTATTTGAGCCACAGCTGCCTTTTTTAAAAGGGATTTTGCCAGCATTTAAGGGAAAGAAGTTGATTCAACTCTCAACAAACCAAATAAAAGAAACTTTCAAAGCACCACCTTACAGCACACAGAAATCTTATCCTCATATCTCCCCGATCAGGCTGGCACAAGCTGCCCAGCTAATCAGCACCAAGCACTCACAGTTAGTTTGTGTTTGTTTCCACTCAGATTCCACATCTCTGCATATCTTCTATCCAGCTGTGCCCAAGACCAACCTCTGACTTCTTCTATTCAAAACTGGGGCTCCTTCTGATCCCTCCTACTGGTTTCTGGGGTCAGTGCTTCGAGCCACTAATGAGTCTGTCGCATTTGCAAGGCTCTAGCCAGACTGGTTCAATTTAGGCCAATTAGGTCCAACAGATATCTATTTATATGAAGTGCCCACTACATATGGAGCCCTGTGCTAGACTTTGGGGGGATTAAACTTGAGAGTGCTTGTCCTCTTAGAACTCAGAAGGAGGACGTGATAAACATTGGCAAATAGAACACAAAATAATCCACAAAAAGTGCATTGTACAATAAAGGGTACAATACAACATGTTGGGTGCGCCTTTAAGGAAAAAGGTCATGGCTGACTGGGGTAGGGGACAGGGCGCAGGGAAGGCTTCCTGGAGGAAGTGGAATTTGATTTGGATCATAAGGCAATTCGACAGGTGAAGTATTCCAGGCATAAAGAACCATGTGAGAAAAAGCATGGAATTAATAAAGCGCCAGGGTATCCATATCTATATATAAATATATCCACACCTAATTGTAGCCTGGGATGGGGAGAGGGAAGGGGGGAGGACAAAGGAAAAAAAGAACAAAGTGAAAAGTGTACAGCACAGAACAAAAGAAACCTACAAGGAAGCAAAGAAAAGACGGGTAGCTTTTAACGCAACGTGCAGTGTTTAATATATAGGCTTTCTTGAAATGGAAATTTATTGCTATATATTTTTAATCCTCTCTCATGTTCTGCTGTGCACATGACATGGTTTTTTCTTTTCTTATTTTATATTTAAGTTTTACCATTTAAATTTATGTTTATAATATATATATGTAAATATATAATCTATGAATATATTATGATATAGTATCTAAATATATAAATTTATAATGTTTTTTCTTTTGTATTATGTATTTAAGTTCTAGTATTCAAGTCTAAAATTAAAAAAAGATTAAAAAAATAAAGCACAGGGTAGGTTTGGGGGCTAAGCAAAGTCCAATTTAGTGGGGCATGGGGTGTGCACAGCAGAATTAAGTGAGCTAAAGCTGGAGAAGTAAGATGGCACCAGATTGTAGAGGGCCTTGAGTGCCAATTTTTATAGGTGATAGGGAGCCACCAAACAGTTTCAAGCTGAGGAGTGCCATGACCCCCTTAGAGGGGTTGAAATACCCTATATACTGCAACAAATAGGTACAATTTCCAGCAAGGAAGAGTCACTCCTTCAGACCCTCTACTCCAACTCCTTTGTGTTTCAGAGGCGCCTCGGTTTGAGTCCATCATGGAAGATGTGGAGGTTGGATCTGGAGAGACGGCTCGTTTTGCCGTTGTGGTAGAAGGGAAGCCGCTGCCAGACATTATGTGGTACAAGGTGAGTGCGGAATGAAGGGAATGGATAGCCCCAGATGCGGGGTTGGTTCTAAGGGAGGACTGAGGGAAGAAAGATTGTGTTCAGAGAATAGAAGCAATCCTGAGAGGGTCCCAGGGGGATTATGTAGAGCGTGAATTTCCTTATTCTGAGAAGATGCTACAAGAGATGAGCCCTCTGAATGGAGCAAGCATTCTGAAGGGGGGAATGTCGACCTTGGGAGGAAATTGAAATCCCTGTGGGGAATCAGGAATGTAGGGGGCACAGGGGAGATGTGGGGGCTTGGGTGTGATTGGGGCCAGGGTGTGGAGGTGATCTCCTGCTCTACAGGAGGAGGCCCTGTTGGAGGAGAGCAGCCACGTGAGCTTTGTGTACGAGGAGAGTGAGTGCTCCTTGGTCGTGCTGAGCACGGGACCCCAAGATGGCGGCGTCTATACCTGCACAGCTCGCAACCTTGCAGGGGAGGTATCTTGCAAGGCTGAGCTTGCCATTCGAACAGGTGACTGGGCTGGTAGGGTTCTTGCATTTGGGTTAGGGTGGAGGCGATACCTACTACCCCTTTTCCCCTAGGGACCCTGCCTTTCACACCTCCCTTTTCCCAGGGTCCACAAAGAAATCCCTGTGGCCCAACACTCCCTGTGCCCAGTTCCTCTGTTCATAGGATCACAGATTTAGAGCTAGAAGAGATCTTAGAGGCTATCAATTTTTTTTATAGATAAGGAAACTGAGGCTAAGAGAGGTTAAGTGATTTGTACAGTGTCACATAAAATTAATAATTATTATCTAAGGCACTATTTTAACTTAGGTCTTCCCGACTCCAAATCTAGGACTCTATCTTAGCCATTCTTTTCTGGACCCCAGTGTCCTAATCCCTAGCTACTGCCCCCAAAACATTTAGCCCTTTCTCCTTACCCAATCTGCCACTTCCTGGCCCACTTTCAACTTCCTGGCCCTTGCTCCTTTTCTCTATCTTCATTCCATCCCTGCTTTCTACCCTTTAGCCTTCCATCCATCTGCCTTGTCTTTCTTCCAGCTCAGACATCCATGGAGATTGAAGGAGGAGGGGGAGATGAAGATCTTCGGGGACGGAGGCTTAGTGACTTTTATGATATCCATCAGGAGATCGGCAGGTAGGGCAGTGGATACCACTCCTGACATCCGGGTCTCTCTGAGAGGCTGAATGTCTAGGGCAGGGGTGGGGAACCTGCAGCCTCGAGGCCACAGGTGGCCCTCTAGGACCTCAAGTGCGGCCCTTTGACTGAATTCAAACTTCACAGAACAAATCCCCTTAATAAACGGATTTGCTCTGTAAAACTTGGACTCAGTCAAAAGGCCACACCAAATTCTTCCTATTGTTTCTAATTCTTACTTATAACATTGCTAATGTGAAAATATGTTTAATAGGAATGTATATGTATAGCCTATATCAGATTGTGCGCCATCTTGGGGAGGGTGGTGGGGAGGGAGGGGGAGAAAAATTTTAAACTCAAAAGCATATGGAAGTGATTGTTGATAAATCAAAATAAATTAATTAAAAATAAATTAAAAAAAAAAAGGCCACACCAAAGGACCTAGAAGGCCACACGAGGCCACAGTTCCCCACCCCTGGTCTAGTAGTTTTGGTTTGGGGGATGAGGGTAAAAGGAAGAAGGGGAGAGTACAGAGGTCCCGGAGCTGGGGAACAAACCCTAACCCCTCCCCGTGGCCTACCTGTGTCTCAGAGGTGCCTTCTCCTACCTTCGTCGGGTGGTGGAGCGGAGTTCTGGCCTCGAGTTTGCTGCCAAGTTCATCCCGAGCCAGGCCAAACCAAAGGCATCTGCACGGCGGGAGGCCGGGCTACTGGCCAGGCTCCAGCATGACTGTGTCATCTACTTCCATGAAGCCTTTGAGAGGCGACGGGGACTTGTTATTGTCACTGAACTGTACCCAGGGGACGGGCTGTGGGGAGACATGGTCACTGTCTAACGCTGAGCTGTTCTTAGAGGAGAGGGTGTGAAGGGGGCTGGCGGGAAGCACACATTGTCACAGGGGAGGGAGGGGCATTTTGGGGAGACCTACTATGACTGGCCTTCCCCAGTGAGGTTGGGGGGAGCCCAGGGGGCTGATGAGGGTCGATCCAGGCCCTTTTTCTCCTTGACTCTGGATTCAGCTGCACAGAAGAGCTTCTAGAAAGAATGGCCAGGAAACCAACCGTGTGTGAGTCTGAGGTGAGGGCAGGGGGTGGGTGGAGTTGGGTGTGGGGCTGTCTTCTTCCTGTCTAAACCTCTGCAACGGCTAAGCTGGCTAGGACCAGACTCTGGGGAGATGGCTCTGTCCATGGTGGTGCTGGTGGAGGTGGGTGGGGCAGGACAGAGAGAAGTGCCCTCTACAGGAACATAGACACCACCCCGAGGAACCCCTTTGGTCCAGTTAAGCCCTGGTGCATTGGAAACAGCTCCAGCCTTTGCAAACATTACTATCTAGTAATTAGTTTTTTTAATTAGTAATTTTTTGGGGAGGTTTTTTTTGGGGGGGGGTGTTAGGCAATGGGGTTAAGTGACTTGCCCAGGGTCACACAGCTAATGTTATGTAAATTAGTAATTTCTAAATGGAAACAACTTGACCAAAAATCCATAGCAGAATTTTAAGTCCTTTAAAACAGATGGATACACTTGACACTTACTAGCTGTGTGACCCTGGGCAAGTCACTTAACCCCAATTGCCTAAAAATAAAAAAAATAAAAATAAAAATTTTAAAAAAATTTAAAAAGGTGTTAAAACAGATGGATACCAACCCCCCCCCCCAATTCATTCTCTACAGAGCTCAGTTTCCCTCATCCAGGGTCTCAAAGGTCTCTCCTCTTTTCCCCTCTTTTCCCCATTGAAATTTACCCCAGAATCTATTCTTAGTATCAGATGATAATTACCAAAGGTATCCCATGTCAACAATTTCTGTTGCTTTTCAGCTCCTTTTTAAACAATTTCCCCCATCATTAGAATGTAAGCTCCCTAAGGTCAAGGACTGTCTTTTTTTTTTTTCTGCTTGTGTTTGTATGCCCTGTGCTTAACCCAGTAGCTGGCACACAGTAGGCACTAAATAAATGCTTATTAACTGATTAACTGTTCTTCTTCAATGCCCTTCTTCCCCACACCTGCCTTCCATCTCCCAGGCTCATTCTTATATCACAGCTGAGCCCTAATTAGCTTATGCAAGCTTGTTTTTTTCTACTCTGGATCCATTCTACCTGGATAACAGTTCTGGGTATGCCCCACTTCCCCTGTGGGCTCTGGGCCCCACTGTCTCTCCAGATCCGGGCCTATGTGAGGCAGGTGTTGGAGGGGCTTGCTTACCTTCACCAGAGCCGGGTGCTGCACCTGGATATCAAGGTGAGAAGAGGGCAAAGGGGAAGGGAGGCTGGCAGTTGATTGAGCAGATGGGGAGCCAAACAACAGTGGTCTGACCCTAAGAGAGCCCAGGTTGACCAGGGCACCTACAAAGAACCATCTCATCCTCTCCTGTCTGTCCCCTGTAGCCGGAGAACCTGCTGGTGTGGGATAGGGCCGGGGGCATGGAGCAAGTGCGAATCTGTGACTTCGGCAATGCCCAGGAGCTGACCCCAGAGGAGCCCCAGTACTGCCAATATGGCACCCCTGAATTTGTGGGGCCAGAGATTGTCAACCAGACCCCTGTGTCCAGAGTCACTGATGTCTGGTAATTATGGGGCAGGAGGGAGAATGGGGTTAGGTTACTGTGTGCCAGGTGCTGAGGATACCAAAGAAGACAACAAGAACTATAATAAGTCATTTGGGAAGGAGGGATATGGTCTACACTGGGGTCCCTGCTGATGACACCTTCCTTTCTTTTCCACAGGCCTGTGGGTGTTGTTGCATTCCTCTGGTAAAGACCTCTCTGATGGCTGAGCCCCTTCAGGGCTTTCTTTTCTCTCCACCTAATGTGGGGAGGGGAGGGGAGATGGGATGGGTTGAGAAGGAGATGTTAAGGCTTTGATCCCTATTTAGCTCAAATCTAGGTCTTCATGGCTACTTGGGCCCTGCCCTTTGCCTATAACCCTGACAACTGCCTTCTTCCCCAATTTGTGTCCTCCGAGCCCTCACCTCCCTCTACTTCTGCCCCTGGAATCCTCCTGCATTCCTCCCCTTCCCAGCCCTGTTAACAGCCTTCTCCCGCCCAACCTCTGCAGTCTGACTGGGATCTCGCCCTTTGTTGGGGAGAATGACCGGACGACATTGATGAACATCCACAACTACAACGTGGCCTTTGAGGAAACAACGTTCCTCAGCCTGAGCAGAGAGGCCCGGGGCTTCCTCATTCGAGTTCTGGTTCGAGATCGGCTGTGAGTCCCAGGATGCCCCTTGGGAGCCCTCTTTGCCTTTCATCTATCCCACCAAACCGTCCTGGTGGCCTTCGTCCCCACACTGCCCCTTCCCAATCCCGAACTTGTTACTTTGATATTTTGGTAACTATATTTCAACACGACTGGACTCCTTGGGAATCCTATGCATTTCATTTTATGCATTTAAAAACATTGCTCTGAGAAGGGGCTCTCAGGCTTCCCCAGACTGCCAGGGGGTCCATGATACAAAACAGATTAAAAACCCTGCTTTAATCGCTTTATGATAATAGCTAACACTTATATCAAGCGCTAGAAAGTTTGCAAAGCACACACTCTCTCTCTCATATGTATATATTATATATAATATAAAATATATAAAATATATGTATTATATATATGTATGTGTGTGTGTGTGTGTGTGTATATATATATATATATATATATATATAT